CATCCCTTGTCAATTTGGGTTTGGAGACAAACCGGTTTCTGCGTTGTGTCTTCTGCAGTGTAATCTAAATAGTTAATGTTTGTCTGCCAATGTAAATGGTTAGTCCTGTTAATGCTCGTTGTTTCCTAGTCAGGTACGGTTTATCGTCTGCGATGGATGGTGGTTGAACTCTGATAGCGAAAGAAGGATTGATCTGTCTACTTTATGACGAAAAGAAGATGCCCTTTGTCGCGTTATATGAACTTGTTACTACCGCCATGCAGCTGTGTAAAATGGCATTGAGCAACGCTATCGGATTCGACAGAATTGGGGAGTACATACCATACGAGTTTCAGTCAGGATGGCGTTCTACCGTCCTTTTCTTCTATCTAATGTTAAAGAAGATAATAATAGCTGCATAACTTAGTCAAAAATAATGCGGCACCGCGCAACCCTATATGTAAATAGTACCTCTCGTGTATACAACGTGCGCCAAAAAAGTAACTCAAATATTAAGTTGTTCAAAATTATTATTGTTTATCAGTCTCAAAAAAGTTATTTACATCAAAATATGTTTAAAATTCCCTAAATTAAATATCTAAAGATCCTCTCCTTCTTTCTTCCAGTTGAAAAGTTCACAAGTAATGTCCAGTCCACCAAAAACTGCAGGCGTCATTGCAGACTGTCAAGGCAGTGATTTCAATTCGCCGACCATCATCGAAGTATCCAACACAAATGGACATGCGTCCACGTGCTCCGAGCGCAGCGATGGACTCTTCATGAAAATGCGGCAAAATTCAGTGACATCCATCGATAAGCCGGACGCACCGCAAGTGCAGCCGTTAGCCACTATTGAAGTGCCGCCTATTAAACGCAATATTAGCGAAGGCAATCTGCTGCCAAGTGAGGTGAAAGAGGCGCGAGTACGTGTCATCTATACGGGTGGCACAATCGGCATGGTGCGGAATGAGAATAATGGTAATAAAAAACTTGCAAATAAAAAAATATTAGGGAATTTCTTTAATGTTTTATATGCATTTCCAGTTCTAGCGCCCATTCCAAATGCTTTGGTGAAAACGCTACGCAGATATCCCAACATACACGACGAGAACTATGCGCAGCTGCGCTTCGGCTCGGCAGCTTCAATGGGTCCGCTCGTATTGCCATTTGTGCAAGGCGAGAAACGACGCGTCATCTACCAAGTTACCGAATATAGTCAGCTCTTAGATTCTAGTAATATGACCATGCAGGATTGGGCGCGCATTGCCAAGGATATACATGTAAGTAAAAAGAGAAATTCCAATGTTCCGAGCATACTTCACTGATCAAATCGTTTAACTCTGCAGCAATCTTATGAGTTCTTCGATGGTTTCGTCATACTCCACGGCACCGATACACTCTCCTACACCGCTTCCGCGCTATCGTTTATGTTGGAGAACCTTGGCAAGACTGTTATTATTACCGGCTCACAGATACCCATTTTCGAAACGCGCACCGACGGCAAAGACAATTTTACCTCCGCCCTAATAATCGCCGGCAACTATGTTATACCGGAGGTGTGTGTCTTCTTCGGTCATAAATTGATGCGTGGCAACCGTACTGTGAAGGTTAGCTCAGATAGCTTGGAGGCATTCGATACGCCAAATGTGGTGCCATTGGGACTTATTGGCATAAATGTAGAAATCGATTATCGACTCATTTTCCGGCCATGCAGCGTCTCGCGTTTTGCGGTGCAAACAACTTTGGATGAAAATGTGGGCATCTTGCGTATTTTCCCGAGTATTTCGAGATCGTCAATACGCGCATTCTTGGCACCGCCTATGAAGGGCGTTGTACTGCAATCCTTCGGCTCTGGCAATGTGCCATCGAATCGCAAAGATTTTATCGAGGAGCTGCGGGTGGCATGTGATCGAGGTGTAATCATTATAAATTGCACACAGTGTACCAATGGTGGTGTGGTGGCGCTTTATGATACAGGCAAAGTGTTGTTCGATATTGGCGTGCTGCCGGGATATGATATGACACCTGAGGCAGCGCTGACGAAGCTTTCTTACGTGTTGGGTAAAGTGGGACTCTCTTTGGAGCAAAAGAAGGAGGTGAGGGCGAGAAGAATCAAAATATTAAAGTGTTGTAAGACTCATTTCATTTTTAATTTACCATTCTTCCAGCAAATGCAAACCAATTTGAGAGGTGAACTCACCTCATCGGTTGGTGCCAAAATGGAAGAGTTCGATTTGGTGGATGCTGTTGCACGCTCTATGCATTTATCTACCCCCGAGGAACTGGGTCAAATGTGTGCCACCCTATTTCCGGCTATGCTGAACACAGCCGTTCAGGAAGGTGACATCAATAAGGTACACAAAATTTTGTAACGAAGAACTGCATTCTATTCTAATTTTATTAATCTGCACTCTGCAACCTACAACTCATCACCGCCCTTGTTTTTTTCCAGATCATCAACCTAAAAGCGTACGGTGCTGATCTCTCTTGCGTGAATCACGATCATCGCACAGCGCTCCATCTCGCCTGCAATCAGGGCAATTTTGCTGTTGTCAATCATTTACTAATGAATGGCGTATCAGTGCACATACGTGATCATTACGACCGCACTCCTCTATTAGAAGCAATCGCAGGCGATCATCACGACATTATACAGATACTTATCAACTGTGGTGCCCATCTTACGGGTTCATCACGCGCCATCGGTGAGCAGTTGTGTGCTGCTGCTGCACGTGGCGCCCTATTGCGACTAAAGTCTTATCAACTCGCTGGTGCTGATTTGGCGCAACCTGATCCCTCTGGTCGCACAGCGCTACATTTGGCCGCTTTACATGGTCATGGGGAATTGGTGCGCTTCCTGTTGGAAATTTTTGATAACCCAAAGGTAAAAGATATGCTAGATCTTACACCATTGGACTATGCTGTCAAAGGAGGTCAGCAGGAGATTATACAAATGCTGGGCGGTCGAGCGACAACGCCAGAAGTAAATGGGGGAAGAAAGTAAAAATTTAGCTGTATATTGTTTACTTATTTGTATTTAATTACGAAAAATGGCTGTAATTCAAATTAAACGACATTCGCGAAAGGCGAATGTCCTTAAAAACATGTAAATACATTACACACGCTTTGCACTTATTCACGTAGCCTTGTATTAGCCCTAAAATGTGAGAGCGTTGAAAATTTTAAATAAATTTTATAGAAAACGAACCAATTAAAAAGTAATGTAGAAACTTTTTAAAATTAAATTCATCCAATTTAGTTGCAGGTTGTAATTTTCAGAGCTTCTTCCAAGATTTGTATAAGTTTAAAATATAAATTATCCGCAGAAAACGCAATATACCAATATTAATCATACATGCATTTTCGAGAGAAGGAATTGGATACCTGTACTTAATTTGTAAACACATATGTACCTATGTATGTATATGTATGCATATTCCTCATTTTATCTACTACGGATACATACTTAAGTCCATACATATGTTTAATGTATGTATTTGTTAATAAACTACTAGTTGTTGTAAAAAGCATTACTTTTTTAATTAAAAATATGTATGTACTTACTGGCGGTTATAGAATAACAAACTGACTTACCATGAGCGTTATTGGCTTCAACTGGATCTGATGTTCCCAATTATGGCTATTTCAGCATTATAAAATTCTTCATGCGGTAGAAAATAGCTGAATTTATTTCTAATTACAAAGCTAAGAAGCTTTACTTTTTTTAATTTTGCTTTATTTTTATAACTTTGCACTAGACACCTGTCGGCATTCACACATGAAGTGCAAACACATAGGATTTCAAATTGGATATTACTTTACTTGCATTTCAGCACTATATTCTTTCGAGGCTGCATACATAGCTACATATTTTTAACCAAATTTGCATTCACTAACTGACCACTTGGTGGCCTGCGGCACATTGACCTCTTCTGCCTACTTCGATTTTATATCACCACACATTTTATTCTAATTTAATCGCTCTACAGATATTTTCACACGTGCCTTTGCTACTTCCTTTGGAAGACTACATTATGGATTGCGCTGCGTCAGACGCCATTAACTTAAACACAACGCACTTTAGCTTATTTAAAACACAATTTGCAAAAAATATAGCTACATTCACACAAATTGGAGCCTACAGCATATTTTAACATGAACCACACTATGCATTCCACCTGGGCGCCACATTCAGACAACTGCGGCTCCATAAAATTTTATATCACAACACATTCGCGTTTATTTATATTGCTTTCAGACGGGCTTAACTCTAAGGGCCGTTTTCTCATCTAACCTTTAGTTTACCGGCCACTTTATCGTCCCGATATACGAGTTTTCGTTTTCTCATCAGCGCATTAAATTCTCGAATCGATAAACTGTTGCTCACCCGATGCAACCTTTAAAATTTGTACCCAACTTTAAATTTTGGTTTGGTTTTGGTTCATGAGCCAGCTATATTAGATATTTCAACCAAAGGTTTTGGTTTTTGCTAACAGTTGCTCTTGCTCTATATTTGCTTATGTTGCATTGCCAACCTTTGGAATTTTATGATGAATGTAGTTAAGTTTCACTCTCGGAAATGTAGTGAAGTTTCACTCTACGGAATAACAAATTTATTTTTACAGGTAAGATAAGAAAACGAAAACACTTTAAAGTGAGGAACAATTTATCTGCCCTGTTAGTAAAGGCAACTTTACTGCTTACATTAGAAAACGGCCCTAAGTTTTCACTTTTATCACAAAAATAAAAATCCGGAAGCGTTATTACGCCAAATTTGTACAAAAACCGGAAAAACTTTTTTTGCAGGAAACAATTCTGCAAATTTTCGCGCCCGTTATTAATCTGCTGCTTCTTCTCGTAGTACGCAGTCCCAATTATACTATACAAATGGCAACGCTGAAAACATTAGAGCCGTTGTTGGCAACGCAGTACATTTGACAGAGTGAAAATTTCTGCTGACATGGAAATTATTTTTGTTGTGCATCGTCCGGAATTTTGTAAATTAAATTTGGTAAATGTACCTAAATTGTTATTAAATTTACTTTAAAATATTGTCAAAAGGTTCATACACCAGTAGCGCATAAAATTGCGTGATTTGTTGCAGGTGTAGTGACATTTTTAAGCGTATAAAGTTTAGCTTAATTATTTTTGTCTGCCATCTCGTACACGTCATACATTTCTCTGCTCGAGCCAAAGTAGCCCGAAAATCGGGTGCTCCAATTGGATTGTGTATTTATGTACGCGGGGAGCAGCAAGGCGGTGACAGTGCTTCAAGAGCGTGATTTCATATTTGTTTTTAGATTTTAGTCGCACTTAAAGATTGATGTCTTGCTTTCTTCTTGCAGCGCAAATGCACGAAAATCGAATAAAGTGAACTACACAGCGAAAAAGATATAAAAAGTACATGTCGAATTCAAACAAGAAAGTGCTGCAGGTATTAGGTTATAGCTATAGTAGTAGATAGCACTAGCTGGAACAGTGCAATTAGTGTAACGAAAAACGAGTTAAAATCGATAAGGTCGAAACGGGAAAAAACATGTCCAACAATGACGCAAATGAGCAGGCCGCACATATCAGCAATCTACAGGAGAGCTTTTCCAAGCAACAGGTAATATTCACTTGATCATGCATTGTAACTTCCGCCTATTGATTCTATAAAAAATTATTCAACAGAAAAAGATTTCGGCGTTGAAGGAACTTGTACGTAAATCCGAGGTCGCGCACGGAAAATCTACTTCAACTGCGCAAGAAAAAGTCAAAAACATTGCCCAGCGTTTAACACACCTTAAAATAAAAGCGCGTTCACGTCAAAGCCCGCCGGCTAATACTCCAACAACAGTACAGGAGAATGTACCTACAATTGTGCCAAATGAAGCGAGTGGGCCGTTGGTGGAGCAAGAGCAACCGCAACAACACCAAGCTCCTCATTTAGGGCACTCGCTTTCCTATGCGGAGCCCACAGTTGGCGGTTCTCCGCATTTTACACCGTTAAAGGCCCAGCAACGCAGCGAGTCCAGCAAATCACTTTCGAGTAGCTCCACGCCAGGTAGCGAAAAAGTGTTGCTGCTTCGTAAGCAAATGGAACAGAATAAATTGTTAATGGCACAGCGCGCATCAAGTAAACAACATTTGGAGCAGCTCGTTTCACAGCTGAAGGAGAAATTCGATACGACGCAACAATGCTTGGAAGATACAACAGAATTGGGCAAATCAATGAGTGATCTCAGCGCATTGATGGTGCGCTCACCCGCGTCTCGTGAGCGACACAAATCGGCCACAGATTTGTCTTCACAGCCGTTCTCTTTGGAAAAAGAGCGCATAAAGTTCCTCGAAAATCGTTGCCGCCTACTAGAAAAGCAACTTGAGAAAGAGCGCCAAGCGCACGGACACCAAGATGTAGCAGTTGCTAACGAATCAGCAAATCAAAAGCGACTAAAGGAATTAGAAAACAAAGTGGTGGAATTGGAAAAAGCACTGCAAGAGCGTCAGCGCGAAATTGATAGCAAAATGGGTGAGACTAAGCATTTGGCCGAAGAATTAGAGCGCACACGCGCTGAGTTAAATGCTAAAGACGAAGAACTTTGTCTAATGAGATTGAAACAGCGCGACAATGCAAATGAACTTTACGAATTAGCCGATTTGGAGAATAACGATATCGACAGACTTCACATACAATTAGCAGAAAAGAACACACGCATTAATGAATTGGAAGAGATCAACGATATGCTAGAGTCGACACGCTGTGATCTGTCATTGAAGAATAATCAATTTGAAGAGCAATTGCATCAAATGAAAGCCGAACTGAATACAGCAAATGAAAAGCTACGATCCTTGCAGGAAGAATTTCAGCGCACTGAGGGAAAATCTGCTTCCCTGGAGGAGACAATCGAGAAGTTGCAGAATTCCACTGAAGCAGTCATTGTAGAATCTAAAAGTGACAGTAAAACCAGTCTCCAGGTAAAATTTCTAATATTCAATATTTACAAATTAATTCCATACAATATGACTTTAGGTTAACGAGGAAATGGCTAAACAGATACAGGAGCTTTGTGATGAACGTGATAAGCTGTTGGAAGAGAATCGTCAGCTGAAAGAAACAATCAGCGAACAAGAGAAGCTGGAAGTGTCTGACACCAGCATCGCTGAGAAAATTGTCGCACTAGAAGCAACAATCGAGAGCCAACGCGCAGATCTTAAAGACCGCCAGACCGTGGTGAGCCGCTTAGAAGAGGAAGTAATGGAAAAAACCATCGAGCTTAATGTGCTCAACGAAAATTTCAAAGTACTCGAAGAAAAGCTCGAAACCAGTAGCAAAAGCAAGTCATTGTTCTCTACAAGTGGTGGTGATGCAGCAGACAACGCAGAATTACAAGCAGAAATACAACAACTGAAGCAAAAATTAGACGAATCTAATAAGGCTATGATAAAATTGAAATTAAAATGTAAACAAACCGAGAAACAGGTAGAGAAGTTGAAGAAGAGCTCCGATTTAAACGCTGAAATTGTGCGTTTAGAAGCATTGAACGAGGAATTACAGCAAAAAATCATTGAGTTAGAAGATGAGAAGGGCCAGTGGCAGTTAACTCAAGTAGACGCTGCTGGAAAATCACCTGACACTGACCGCATAAATGAGCAGCAAAAGGTTCTTGCTGAATTAGAAGAACAAATCAAAACACAAACGGAAACAATTAGGCTGTTAGAAGAGGAAAAATACGAGCAGACACAGCGCCTTGAAGAAGCAGAGAAAAAGCTGTGTGATTTGCAAGAAAAAATCATCAGCAAGGAAGGTGAAGAAAGTGCGCGCGTTAAGTCTGAAATGTCCGAAATACATTTGGAGGAGAAAGTAGAAGAGCAGGCCCAACAGCTACAGCAGCTGGAGGAGCGTTTGTCTAATGCGGTCGCCGACGCGGAAGAACAGAAGCAGAAATTGGCTGATTTGCAGGAACAAAAGCAAACTGTTGACAAGAAATTGCAGAATTATATGGTCGAAAACATGGAACTTTTGGATAAAATTGAAAAACTCAGTAAATCGTCATCCTCAGCCGAATCAATTGAAATTGTTGAACGGTTAACGCAGCAGGAGCGCGCCGAAATCGACGAATACAATAAGCGACTTGATGAAAACGTAGTCAGTTCTGTAAATGAACTCACCCAAACTGAGCTGGCGCCTGAGCTTAGCGATAGCCTCTGCAAGTTGCGCGAGGAAAGCTCTGAGTTGATGAATAAAATTGAACTGTTTACAACAGAGCGCCGCGAAGTGCTGGAACGCATGGAACATTTAACCGCCGAAAATCACGAACTCGTACAGAAAGTTGAAGAACTCACGCGCGAAAAGGACGAAATGGAGACGAACGTGCTGTTGGCAAATGACGCCAAAGTAAAGCTGGAAGAGCGCGTCAAGGAGCTGAGCAAAGAGAAAGATCAGCTTGCCGTGCAAGTATCTGAATTTAAGGTGCAAGGCAACCAAATCTCACAAGGACTCTCATCGTTGCAAAAGTCCTCGGAAGTAGTTGGTGCACTCGACAGCAAGCAAGATGCAGCGCTCTTTGAAAAATGTGAAAAATGTCTCACGAATTTGAATCATGAATTGGAGATCTACCGCAGGGCTAGTGATAAAAATTCCAAAATCCTCGCTTCTAAGAAGTTAGCTAAAGAAGCCAAGAACGCACACACACAGCTGAGCGAATTGCTGCAGAAGGTAAAAGAGGCCAGCACAGCGGTAGAAACAGTAACTGTAGTGGAGACAGTCGTCGCGGTGACTGCGCCCAATGGCAAGGCGTTGGCAGAATACGAACAACTGACCACGCAAAACAGGCTTCTCAAGGAAACAATCGAAGAGTTGCGTCGAGAACTGAGCGAAGCGCATGAGGGTGATGGCGCTGTTGCCACGGTAGAACCAACACCAGCAGTGGCGCCAGTAGCAGCGCTGGCCGAGGATCAAACAGCTAAAGAGGAACGTGAAAAGCAATTGGAGGAGCTCAAAAAATATGAAGAGCAGTGTGTGGAATTGCAATCGATCGTGGAGAGTTTACGTTTGCAGTTAATAGAGGCACGCACGGGGGGCGAAGAGCGGAGCGGCGAAATAACGCAATTAAATGAAGAGTTGAAAGCGTTAAAGAAGACGGCAAGCGAATTTGAAAACTTGCTAAAAGAAAAGGATTTATCACACGAAATGGAGGTTAAGGAGATAACGCGTTTGAGAAAGGAGTTGGAAGGTAAATGAATGTCGAACGTTTTTAAGCTGCAATTTAGACTAACCTTATCTTTGTTTATCTTACAGGCAAATGCGATACCTACGAGGGTGAAATGAACATTCTGCAAACGCTCGTCACTGAACAGAAGCAACAACTCATAGAAGCCTACAAGGAGCATGAGCACGAAAACAACATGAAGCTCTTAGAGCTGCAGGAGCGCGACGAGGAAATAACGCAGCTACGCGGCGAACTCAAAGAACTAAAGCATTCGCTAGAATCCGCAGGCGATCAGTTGTCCGAAGATCTCCGCAAGGAGTGCGAGAAACTGCGCGAAGCACTGAAAATAAATAAGAACTTAGTGACCGAGCAAGTCAATGAGCTTTCAAATAAGCAAGAAACCATCGAAGCGCTAAATCAACAAATAATTGACTTGTACAAATCTATGGAGGAGAATGCAAACAAAATCATTGAGAAAGAGGATGAAATCAACGACATGAAAAACATTATCGACCGCAATACTAAAGAGCTGGAGCATTTGCGCAAAGATAACGACGAAGAAAAGTCGGTAGTTGACAAATTATTGATTGAGCTTCATAGCCATCGGACCACCGTTGAGCAGATACCGCAGCTAGAAAGCGATGTGCAGCGATTGCAGCAGGAAAACCAAAGATTGGATCAAAGCAATAAGGAGCTTGAGAAACGTAACAAAGAACAGCTGGAGAAACTGAAGAAATATGCAGCTAATTTGAAGAAACGCGCCACTCAATGCCAAGAGTTGGAAGCCAAAGTGAGTGAGCTGGAAAAGGGTAGCTTGGAAGCAATGCAAACCAAGCAACAAGATGCAAGCCATGAGCAATCGTTGGCAGACACAGTAAAGAGCCTGGAAGAACAAGTCGAAAGATTGAAGGCACAACTCGAAGCAAAAGATAAGGAAGCCGCAGAGGCAACCGAAATCGGTGGTCATTGGAAAAGCCAACTTGAGCAATTGGAGCGTTCCTTGTTGGAGAAGAACAGCGAGATAGTACAGTTGCAAGTGGCGCTGGTCGATGCGCAAGACCAAGCCTCAGGTTGGGGTGACACTGAACTGGAGATGCCCAAAGAGAATAACGAAGAAAACGAAGAGCTAAAGAAGAAGTTGGAGGAAAAGACACACAAACTGCAGGAGGCCGAAGCAGAAATCTACAGCATGCAGGAGGAATTGATACAAGTGCGCGAAAGCGAGCGCGAAAAATATTGCGCCATCAAAGACATACAGGAAGCGCTTGCGCATAAGAGCGAGTTGGTCGCACAACTCCAACAGCAAATGCAGAGTCATACGCCGGCCGGCAATATCACTCAAGCGCTCGAAGAAAAGGTGAAAACATATGAGGAACGACTGCAAACGCTCAACGAAGAGCTCAAAGCAAAGTCACTAAAATTCGAAAAATCAAAGGCGGTCATTAAGGAGCGAAACAATCAGATACAACGTTTGCAGGCGCAACTGAAGGACCTTCAAGACAAGCTGAGCGCGCGTCCCGAAGAAGAGTACATTGGCTCGCCTCAGCGCATCGCAGCTCTGAGCGCAGCGCCACCACCGCCCGCGCAACTTCAAGTGCCTAAGGAGGTCTACGACGAACTACAGGCGGCCTACGAAAAGTTGAATGAACGCTTCAATGCAGAGCAAGGCACCTTCCAGGCTACCATTAGCCGTCTGGAGACTTTGCACGACGGCATACAAGCTAAGCTGCAGGAGAATATGTCCTATATTGAGACGCTAGAGCAGGAGAATAATGCTTACAGCGAGAAAATTTGCAGACTTGAGGAGGGCATTGCCACTTTCGAGGAGCGCCGTGCCTCAATGGAACGCCGCACGAATATACTTTGTGCACAAATGGAAACACGTGAAACCGAGCACGAGAAAGCAGAGGATGAGCTCATCTACCGGCTGAATATGCTCTCCGAGCACGATGATGTCATCGCTCAGCGCCTGCTGCAGACGCAAGAAGAAAAAGATGAACTTTTGGATCGCATCGAGCGCATACAATCTGAGTTCAACCAACTCAGCAGCAGCTATGCCAAAATGGAAAAAGAATATCAGCTATATCGCGAACAGAGTGAGTCTACCCTTGAAACAGAGACTCAAACGCTACGGCAACAACTCACCGCCGCACGTGCCGAAGCGGAACACCAGCGTAGCGTTTACGACGCCAAGCTGGCCGCCAAAACCACTGAACTCGATGAGCTAGAAAGTGAATTAAGTGAGCAATTATCCAAAATGAATACTGAGAAGCGCGCCACGGCAGAAGGTCTAGAGCGCGCACGGGATGAGTGCAATGAGCAGAAAGATGAGATTGTGCGGCTGAAAGAGTCGATAAGCGCTTTGGAGCAGGCCAAGCAGGAGCTGGAGCGGGAGGCAACTTGGCTGCGCATGCAAAATGAAGGAAGTCAGCAGGATCAATATGACTTGCAGGAGCTGCGCATGCAAACAATGCAGGACAAAACGGAAATTGATAATTTGCGCCATCAAATCGAAACGCTGGCGGCCAATCATGAAGTGGAGCTGCAGGCGCTGCGCACGCAGATCTCCGAATTGGATACCTTGCGCATGCAGGTGAGTTTGGGAATGTCAATATGGAAAGAGTGCTACGTATTTAAATTTCCTTTAATTATAATTCTCAATCAGTTAATACTAAAATTAAAATAAATAAACTTCACTTTTCATTTGATTTCTTGCAGGTTGGCCAAAACCAGACAGACGATCAAGTCTTCATCGAAACGGAGAACAAGCGCTTGACAGACTTACTTGCGGAGAAGGAAGCGATTATCGAAAATTATCAGCGCCAAAACTTGCAGCTACAGATGTCAGCCGCCGCCGCAGCACAGTCACAAGCGGTTGCATCCGCAACACAGCATGATCCACTTGCCTTGGCGTTCGGCTTGACACCACCTTCAAGCGCCGCCACGCCATCAACAAGTCAATCAGCTTCGTCAGACGAGGAAAGCGCACGGCTGCAGCGCGAACTGCTGGAAAAGAATGATCAGATTGCACGACTCCAACGTGAATTGACTACAGCGCAATCCGAATTCCACAATGTGCTCGAAGGCAATCATGAATTGCAGCGACAGCTATTGGCGAAGAACCAAGAAATCGAAAATCTGCGAAACTCCAACTACAACACCCCCACAGCCGCTGCGCTTTTTGGCCAGCCGACGCAACAGGACGTTATACCAGCGCCTCCGCTCTTCTTCTCCACCGAACAAGCGGTGCCATCAGCCTTCGATGAGATCGTGCAAGTGCGTACAGTTGAAAATCTCGAGAGTAGCAGACGCGTACGAGGCGCTGACGATGTAAACAGCACACTCGAGCAACCCACAATCGAAGATCTGCAGCGCAATGTGTCCGATTTGGAGAAACATGCGCAGGATCTCGAGAATAAGTTGGCCACTCGCAATCAGCGCGAGTTGGAAATTGAAGAACGATTGCGGGAGAATCAGCGGGCATTCGGTGAATTGGAACGACAACTGCGGGAGCGCACCGAAGAGCTCCATGCTGTGCGCACTGAATTGCAGCAGGTGTTGGATGAAAACGTGGCGCTTAAGCAGGCGAACGCGGTTGCGTTACAGCAAGTCGAACAGTTGAAGAGCAGCAGTTCAGCTGCAGAGCACACACTTTGTGAGCGTGATGAGCAACTGAGAGCGCTGGAAAACAGTTTACAACAGAGCCAGGCCAACAGCGACAGCCAGGCATCTGATTTGATGGGCCTAGGACAATTGCAAGGCAACTTGGAACAGTTGCAAACAGTGTTGCAGCAACGGGACGACGAGTTGGAGCAGCTGCGGCGCGCACTGGAGGACGAAAAGACGCTGAAAGAGCGCACCTCAGCGCTAGAGAGCCAAATTATACCAGATTCATTAGCGAACTTACAGTTGGATGGCGTGCCGAATCCAGTGCCCACACTGGATATGTTCTTCGGTGGTGCTGGCGGCGCTGGAACTGATTTCGAGACTCTAATCATACCACCTGTATCTAACGAGCCTGTAGTAGAAGCGTCAATTGTGCCCGAAAAGGCGTATATTTGTCAACCACAAGGCGAGCAGACTGTGCACCGGGAAGCAAAAACGTCTGCATTTGATCTGGATGCTGATTGGGGTGACGCGTGGGGTGCGCAAGAAGCTGCTGCTGAAGCGGAACACTTCTCCAAGACAACAGCTGCCAGTTTAGGCGCAGCTGTGTCTTTAGTGCCGCGCGAACAACAACTGGAACTACAATTGGCCGAGCAGGCGGAGCGCATTGCTGAACTGCAGCTATCGGTCGAGCGTTGCGAGCAACAAAAGCAAGAGTTGCAGGTGAAATCCGGCAAGCTAATGAAGAAACTCAAGGAGTATAAGACAAAGATCGATGAGTTGCAGAGCAGCGCGACAAATGCGTCAGCTTCATTCTTCGACTTGGACGCTGCCATACAGGATGAACTCAAGGCGCAAATTAAGCAATTAGAGGAGCGCTTGGAGGAAGAGCGCAAACAGCATGAATTGCATGGTGTAGAGAAAGAGAAATTGCTAAAGCGCATCGATGTACTGACGGCTGGCAGCGAACGCATGGCCGAAATGAAGGAGCGCCAAGATATGGAAGTGCAAATGTATCAGGCGAGAATACAGGAACTGCAGGCGAAGGTGAATAAGTTGGAAGATTGGGGACCAGATGCGGAGCCAAGTGCAGGAGCAGCAGAAGAAGCAACGTCGCAGCAACAGGCAGACGCACTGTCGACTGCATGTGTTGGTGAGTCATTTAAGACAGAATTTGTATCTTATATTTTCCTAAATAATTTTTCCCATAAAATAGCCAACAACATTCAGGCCCAGCCGTCGGCGCTTCCACCCAGCTGGGAAACAGAGAGACAACAGCTCAGCCAAACTATCGCTGAACTTACTGCAGAAATACAAGACATCAATGTGGACCGTCAAGAACTGCAAGCGCTACTGGAAGATGAAAAATCGAATGCACTGCGCGCAGAGGAAGCTCAGAAGGTACTACAGCAGCAGCTATCCACTCGCGATAGCGAATCAGTGGTAAATGCAAGCGCAGAGAAGACGAAATACAACGACCTTAAGGCGGAGCATCAGCAGCTGCAAGAAAAGTATAACACTTTGCATGCAGCCTACGAAGAGCAAACTGGGGAGTTGAATCGCTTGAAGGTGCGCGAAGAGCAACTCAGTGCTGCCTTACAGGAGGCAGAGCGCAACTTGGCATTGAGACAAGCGTCGAGTGCACGAGAGGAACAACTGAAAACAGAGCTGTCTAAGGCCGAAAGCAATTTATCACAGGCAAATGCTGCGCTGACACGGCTTGAAGCCGATCTCGATGCAGTTCAGACGCAGTTGCTGGAACTACAAACGAGAAACGCCGAGCTATTGCAAGCAAACGAAGAGCTTCAAAATGCTAACGCAGCGACGGCTGTCACAGTAAATGCAGAAATCCTCAGCAATGAGAATGCTCAACTGCGTGCACAAAACGAAGCCTTAGAGCAGCGCGTTAAACAGCTCGAGGAAGTTGCTGCGCACCAAGTGTTGAACTCAGCCCCAACAACTAGCTTCAACGCAGCGCCAACCAGCAGCGTCAACGTTGATGAACTCAATGCGCAATTACAAGAGAAGGAATCCGAAATAATGCATTTAAAGCAGCGCATTGAAGACTTGATGCGCGAAGACCAAACCGAGAAGCTTGTGCTGGAGATATTAACAAAGAACCAGGAGATACACATGCTGAAGATGCAAGTGAAAAATCTGGAGGATGAGAAGCAAGAGCTGGAGCACAACCTCTCCGTGCAGATCACAAGCGAGATGCAAGCTAGCAAAGGTGGCGTCGAGAGCGAGAATACGAAGCTGCGCGAACAAATACAGCAACTGGAACTGCAGCTGGAAGCACTGCAGAGCGAAAAGCGCGACATGGAGGAGGAACTGAAGGTGCTGAACAACCACGTGCTGAGCAGTCTGGAGAACGAGGACAAGCTTAAAGCGGCGGCATTGCAACTGGATACGCAAAACATTGAAATTGCCGAACTGCGACGCACAATCGAAGCACTCAGGGCTAGCGGCAGCCCTCCGGTGGCAGAAGATGGCGCACAGCCAGTGGACTACGCCGCTTTGAATGCCCAGTGGGAGGCGATTGTCGACCAGAAATGTGGTGAAATCGCTAAGATGTGGCGTGAGCATTTAGAGCAACGCGAGTCCGAATTCAAATTGGCCGAGTCGCGTTTGCGCGAGCAGTTGGCCGCCCAGCGTCAAGCGCAGTCGCACGACCAAGGAACGCAACACGTTGTTTCCGCTGAAACTACGGCCACATCAACCCCCGGCTCGGTATCAACCACGCAGTCGGGCACCTCGTCGGGCGCCGCCTCCAAGGATGGTACACCATTGCGTCACCGCATCATCAACGAGGAGCACGAAGCCGATGCTGATGCCATCATTGAGAAGATGCAAGCGGCGCTGGAAAGCCAGGAAATGGAGATTGTCACGCTGAAGGAACAATTGGCAATACGCTCAGCAGAGTATGCGCGCTTGGCGGCGCAATACGATCCATTCAAATTACAGAACACTTCCTCCCACAGCGGCATTAGCGGTGGTGTCACAGTTGAGCAGCGCAGAGGCGCGGCGGTAAGTAGTAATGATGCTTCGCTCGTGCCGAAATCGGAGCTAGATTTCGCGCTATATATGCTACATCAACGCGACATGCGTTGCGAGGAAATGACGTTGGAATTGGTATCGTTGCTGGAGGAGCGCGACACCTTGCAGCTGAAACTGTCGAATACGCTGCGGCAGGTGGAAGCCCACAAAACGGCTACGAATTACGTAGAGCGTAAGTTACACAAATGTTGGGCGCAGTCATGTAGATATCTAATAATCTTATTAAATTTAACAGCCTCTAATACGTCAACAGACAGCGCTGCGCTTGCGTCACCAACGACGGCGACTGCCAGCCAGACGCAGCGTACAGTGGTTAGCCCAACTGCTGCTGGTTGTGACTCAGCCGATGAATTGAGCCAAAAGTAAGCGGATTATCAAAAGGCGCTATGAGCCAGCTAACTTAAATACTAATTAATTCTAACATTATTATCTCATTTAGATTGTCTCAGCTGCAAACTGTCAATCATTCCAAGGACAAGGTGATTAAAGAGGAACGCGATCAACGCATACGACAAATGGAAAAGATACAACAGGATGTGGCCAAAATGCCGCCTGCTGCTGTCTCTGAATTAGTTGGCACGGACGCAGGTAGTTGAAATTTTATTTTAATCACATTTGTTATTAATTTAAATTTTTTATTTTTTTTTTTTCAGCTCAAACTGGCCAATCACCATCATCTGTGCTACTAAACTGGCTGTGGGGTAATAAGCCAGATGCTGGCAATTCAGCGCCACATTAAAGCAATAAATCTACAACAACAATATCGACAATATACGAACCTAAGCGAACCAACACTGCTTTGAATTCGTTTTATTCATTAAGCTGATTTGGTTCAAAATACCAATGCGATATTCAGGTGTCTACCCTTATGCACCTACCCACATACGTACATATGTGCATCAATATTTATGTACCCCCAATATTTTTGCAACAACAATACGTTGATGAATTGAAATTTAATTAATGTACCTTACTTTGTCCTAAATACTAAAAATTTATTTACCAAACTGTAATAAACGATTGTAAATAACACAGATAAACAGATGTAATGCAGTTCTCTTTTTTATTTTTTTTTTATGTATGTATGTATGTATGCAATTGCTTAATTCGAAAAACGAGTATCTATACGAAACATTCATTCTTTAGCCTAAAACTTATGCGTATGTAGTAGTAAAGACAAAGAAACTTAAGCTGTATTTAGAAAGTTATTGGAACTATATTGAATGATAATGAAGAAATATACAGAAATTGTTAGTAACTACTTGCTTTTGTTTATTCAAGTGTCTTTTTTTTATTGACTAAATAGTGGCCTGAAACATTAAGGCGGTGCTAATGTTTAAATTTTTTCTTATTAGCTGAAGCTAATTTTGAATTTATTGAACGTGATGGTCGTTCTTCTGGGTACACATTTAAGACTCATTTCACACTGTATGAGACAGCGGGCGACGTACATTTTGAGCCGACATGTAACAATCCGACTGGCCGGTTAGCGGGAAACCGGAGGGTGTGAAATGTTCCTGCACTCTGGGCAATGTGAGCAACCCATGCGCGAGATGCGGTAACCCAACCCATGTGGAGTCGTAAGGCTACGGCAGGAGGTTAGGCTAGCAGTCGGCTATTCCTACGACACGTTCTGTGTACCTGCTGTTTCGGCGACCCAACCCCCTTTAGATCGGCGAACCCGATCAGTCGTTTTTCGTCCGTGGAGCAATACCTGGCAGCCGGTTTATTGCGCCTCTTTTTTCGGGCGGGTATTTAGTCCAACCTCGAACCAGGAATCTATTTCTGCTGCGTTTGCCAACTCCGAACTCCACTTCGGTTAGGGGCCACCTCAATCTTACTCAGCTAACACCACTTTCTCTGGTCCATCCCCGTCTAAACAGCTCGTTTTCTGGGCTTGCCGTTAGCTTGACGACACCGATTGATGGACAAATCGACCTAGGCGGCGCTAAGAAGTGCAGCTACAAAAACAACAACAGCTACCAGCTGACGCCTGTCTCGGAGCAAGCGTCCTATTTTACATTTAAATGTGTATCTTTAAAAACACCCCCCCGCTACAGGTTGTACGCTCTTCTTGGGACTCGCCAAGTAAAGAGTCAATCCAATTAAAAGACCAGAAAAGCATATTTTAGTAATCCCTCTTCAGACATCCTGTCTCGGAGTCGCAAATAGGCATAATTGGTCGCACTGTCGGAAACTACAGCCAACATATCGTACACCAGCTTCATAGTAACCACAGAAGCGGTCTTGAAACTATTTGACTGCTGCTTTATTTTCTCCAAAAAATTTTTGACCCACATTCCTGTTTACCAACATAATAACGCTTCTTCACTCGGCCAAGGCGGCTTTACAAAAATTAGGCTGCTGGATACGACGGTGCACCGGCTGAGCTGTTCAAATCCTGCGGCGAAGAGCTTATAGGGTGCATGTACGCACTGTTAGTCTCAAGTTGCCCAACAATTACAATATCAGTATATTTAGGCCAATACTCAAGAAGGGAGATCCTATAGTTTTCGACAATTACCGCAAAATAGGCCTTCTTAACAGTTCGTATAAGATCCTATCGATGAGCTGTGTGAAAGATTGAATCGGTTTATGGACAAACAGACTTGACAAATCCCATGGTTAGACCAGGAAAGCAAGGGCGCCCACGAGCGCAAGCCCAGGTGCAGAAGGACCTATCTGCACTCCGGATGAACCACTGACGTAACTTCACAAAGGAGGGAGGGAGGTTTTCTGGTTTCGGACTAAACCAACAAACAGTTGTAGACAGTGTTGCCAGAACTTTTTGGGCCGACCGGCTAGATTGGCAAAAAAAAGCGGCTAAAAACGGCTAAAATGTTCACAGTTCGTTCCAAATTGTGTCTGAAAATGTAGACGTCTACATTTTGAGACGTCTTCTAGCATCAAACTGTGAGCACCCCTTTCTAGCAGTCGTCGCAAAATCGTCTCAAAACTTTGCTGGTGTTGCCAGACATTTCCTCTTTGCGTGCATTTTTTATATATCGCCTTTCGATTTTGTTTCTGAAAAATTGTAATTATTTAACTTAATTACCAATTCCTAATATTTGTTATTTCTTTTCTTTGATTTGTTTCTTTTCATCAGAAATTGCGCCCAAATTAAATGCAAATACAAAAAACGTGCCCAATAATTATAAAAAGTGTGATTAGTATTGCCATAATGCAACCCTGCTGCGAGGTTACAAAATGTAGACGCGTAAAAAACATACCTTTGAGTGTGACAAAATGTAGACGGCGTCGTTTTCCAATTTTGTATGGGAAACAACAACACCACAGATTTTACGGTTAGAAAACGTCTTAAAATGTAGACGTCTACATTTTCAGACACTATTTGGAACGAACTGTGAACACCCCAATAGACTCTGGCAAAAAACGGCTAAAATGTTTTAGTGAAAATTCACATGCTTTATTTAAATAAATCGCAAGAAACGAAAGACTAGTTAACACCATTAATTTATATCGAGTGTATATTCCTCATCATCAAAT